ATTTGCTAGTCTGTCTGACTCCAGGTTCCAGATTGGGGAGTGTCACCCCACAAATTGACACCAGGCGTTTACACCTGAGAGCCAAGTCACATATGGGCTCTTATTAAGGTGAGAGTCCTCTTTTATGAAGTGATTTTAGTTTGTTATAAACACAGACATACTGCACCATAATCTCCTATGGTTTGTTTGCCTTGAGATTCCTGTTTATCCAAAAAAGTGGGGTGCTACCTATAACAGCACAGCTGCGTCATTATAGAGCCTTACCCCCAGGCTCTGAAGATTGTGAGTGTGTCTACCTTTATTTATTTTGCATCTTGTATATTGCAAATACCATCTGCACTAGATTTGTTTTATGTTTTTTTTCTCTTTTATGTATCACTCCACATCTAGATTTATATTACCATAAAGAGGGGTAAGCTAATATCTGCCTGTCTATTATTCAGCGCTCCACCCACTGATTATAGGGTTTATCCTGTTAATAATTTTTCTCTATGTATTTATGGTGAGGGAAGAACGGTGTCCCCCTCACGGGTGTTTAAGAGCAGCTATTCACATGTTGATTTTGAAGCACTATTTACTGTTCACACTGAGCTCACTTGTGAGTCACTTCTGTTAAATATCAACTGACCCTACATGGGAATCCCACTTCTGCCACCAAGTTTGTGGGGCTTCTATTCTCAACCCGTTGAGACTTAACCTTTGCTGAAGCTATTCTCCTTATTCGGATTTCATTTGGGAAACAATAACTCAGACAGATAGCAAGGTACGTTGGATCACTGCTTCAATTTATTACGTGTAAGCATACAGTTTATATATGCTAATGACTTATGCTTGCAACAGAATGTTAAAAAAAACGTATTAACAGTAAGAGTATACACACAAAAATAAAGTTACAGTATATTAGGTACGTGACAATAACATGTTTACATTTTCCAGGGAAACAATAGAAATATTTCAAAAGAGTTTTAGTTTAATTTGACTTGAAAAGATAGCACAGAATGTTAACCCCTTTCACAGACTATAATAAAATGTGCTGTACATGCCTATGGCCTGCAGCCTGCTTTTGGCAAGTCAGGTACGATACAAATGGGTAATAACTCCAGCAGCAAGTGACTGACTACCAGAATGTTACCTCATGATTACACAACCTGGACTGGGATTAGTGATGGGTGGTAACGAGTTAGTGCCATGGGGCATTCTAATATCAGAACAATGTGACCTCTGTTGCTACATAGTGTTTAGAAACTCTCCGATTATAGTGTGAGTTCAGTTTGTATCCATCAGGGAGTGCAGTCAGTAAGTGTCAGTGAGCATCTGTCTGATCCGGTCAGTAAAAGCATTGTGTGTGCCAGTAAGAGAGTATGGGGAATATAGTGAAAGTATAGTGTGACCCATATGTTTTACCCTCAATATATGTGCCTGTCAGTGTGAGTACCTGTTAATGGAAGTGCAGGTCCACGTCAGTGTGCACAAGTTGTATGATGGTGTGAATGCAAAGTGCACAGATTCTGTGTCAGTGTGAATGCAGTGTGTGTAGGTTGTGTCAGTGTGAATGCAGTGTGTGTAGGTTATATGCAAGTGTGTCAGTGTGAATGCAGTGTGTGTAGGTTATGTATCAGTGTGCACAATTAGTATGCCAGTGTGGATGCAGTGTGCACAATTTGTATGTCAGTGTGAATGCAGTGTGCACAGATTGTGTTAGTGTGTGTAGGTTGTGTGTCAGTGTGAATGCAGTGTGCAAATGTTGTGTCAATGTGAATGCATTGTGTACGTCAATAATAGTTAGTGAGTGAGCAGGCTGCACTCCTATTTGTGGTAGTAAAAAAAATTTGAAGTCTATTCCCACCTAACTGAAATTATGCTAAGAGGCATTGTTGGTTTGTCCCAGTCTTCTCACACCCTGTCGAGATCCTGCTTTAACGTCCTAAATATAACCAACCTACCAATACAACATACACATATCTGAGCTGGAAGCTGCCAGGGTTTCATAATGTCATTTATTCTACTGTCTCAGTGAAAATCAGAAATTCTCCATTAAGCTAATTTTCTAGAATTCCTACAGTTCACAGTTTAGTGGAATAAACCTTTATTTCACAGCAAGTTTTTAAAAACATATCCTGCAAGCTTGCCATCTAATTTCAGTCCTGCTATTGGCTGTTTGATTTTTTATGAATAGCAAGAGATCTTCAGGCACAAAAATAAATTTATGCGGGTCACCTTGCAAGAATAGACAGGAAACATGTTCGTTCAACGCATGGTCTAAAGAGGAACTGTGTCTTCCTCAATTTTAGAAAAATCTAACTAAAACTTATTAGCTGTGCCATGTTTAAATTTTAACTTTGAGCGGTGCTTGAGAATATGTAAACCGCAGGTGCGGCAGAGTCACAGCGGTCATACATCCCAGAGATCTCATATTCTGATTTTGACTTTAAGTGTAATCCACACATGGACCCATGCTCACTGTGTCTAAAGGCGCAACAGCTACATCTCGCGGTCAAGACCCAGAGAAGATTAGGATCATTTCAATAATAAAAATTGGAGTGCAAAATATTAGACCACTGCCCACATATATACCCTCTTACATGCAGCTAAATCATTACAAAACACTGATGAAAGGTGATCACTATTATGTTAGTAAGTGCCCTAACAAAATGTGATTCTATTATGGGTAAAACCAAATCATGACCAGTGGTATTGTGGTAGAACCAAATCATGATCATGTTTTACACACAATGGTATCGCATTTTGTTTTGGCACTTATTAAGTAGATAGGATCACCTTTCGTCACTGTTTTGTAATGATTTAGCTGTATGTAAGAGATAATGTATGTGGGCAGTAGTCAAATATTTTGTGCTCCAATTTTTGTTATTGAACTCTTAAATCTTATCAGAATTTCATGGTTGGTTGCTGCCACTACTAAATGCCATGTATAGATGAATTTTTTGTGCCATCTTATTTTTACATAGATATATGGCATTTAGGATCAGACAGCCTTTATGAGTGGGATCAGGTATAACGCTCTCTCTGTAACGCAACAAACAAGGGGAAACCATTTTGGAGACCTGAGTAGAGTTTTAAACTTACCTTAACTGTGCTATTCACCCCAGTAAAGAGACGGGGGGAGATTGTATAGAATTTTTTTACAGGGTAGGTAGTGATTTCATTATTTCATAGCCTCCAGGCCAACATTCAGCAGCTGCCCACCACTTGCAGCCCAGGAGGTGGGGCATAAGGAAGGTTGTACACCTCCCTTTAGTTAGATGGGGTTCATATTGACCACCTTAAAATTTTTATATTACAGTGGTGGCTGGCTGCCACATAACTTCACCCTTATTTCACTCTGAATGTAAATTCTACAGAATGCATTTGGTCCAGGTTATCTTTAAAAACCCTGTAGTAGTCAATCTGAAGATCCTATATAGCGCATTTAATGTCCACTTTAATATCTGCACCTTTGTTTTCAAATGTTTATAGGTAAATTGTGCAGATACGGCCAGATCAAAGTTGATTTGTCTTCAGTAAACATGAGAATCCAGTTAGAGATAAACTGACTGTTTCCCAGTATGTGGCTTTTTTGTGCCCCTCTACTAAATGACATAGTGAATTAGATGGTCAGCTATTTACAGCTTGGCAATTTCCAGAGTTTGCAGATCCAGCCTAGTCCAAAGATGGCACTGTTTTCTCACAGGATCCACATTAACCTTTAACCACCTGCATAGGAGTTCAAACCCTCGTTCTCTATGTCACCTAGCAATAAGGTTCATTCATTTGAACACAACCATGAAATCTCTGGTTGACTTTAACCAGTGGGTACCAATCACCATTCTTTACAATCTTCCCAGTGCAAATTACCACGTGAATGTTTTAAAGTGTGTTAGGTTTCAAGAATAAAACACATTAAATATAACTGCCAAGATGCTGAGCTTTGTTCACAATAAACACAATTAAAAGAGTTACAAGGCCTGTGTGATTCTCTGCTAGATTTAACCCCTTAAGGACACATGACATGTGTGACATGTCATGATACCCTTTTATTCCAGAAGTTTGGTCCTTAAGGGGTTAAAGGGGCAATAGAGACACCCGTTTCAACTCATTGAAATGGTCTGGGCACACTATCCGTCGCTTAGCCCTGCAATTTAAAACACTGCAGTTTTAAATGTAGACTGCCTCTAGTGGCTGTCTTATCAAAGAGACACTGGAGGCTCAGATCTTGACTGAGAATGCTTTTCTATGGGAAAGGCAGCATGAGTGTGGCACATGTGCATTAGGCCCCCTGTTGGATGACTTGGAAGACAGAGCTGGGGCATGTGATGGTGTACCATTGTTTATAGTACAGATTTGTATTCCTAGCACTATAAAATCCCTTTAATTTTAATAAATTTTCTGAATATTAAATAGCAACACTTTAGTCCCCATAATTTCACTCCACGTTTAACCAATTTACTAAACAGTGATTAGACAACTGAAGGTTATACCGCTGTCCATGAGAAAGCTATACCACAGCCACATTCATGTGTAGAGTGTCAAATGGTGTTCATAGCTCCATTAAGAGCTTTATGAATGAACAATAAGGCAAGGTAGTGCACAAGTCATTTCACCTCCAACAGACTGATAAATTCACTTTCATGCAGATCAATAGAAATTGTATCAGTTGTGTTAAACAGGAATTGTTTGCCACAGGAGCAAAGAATTTGAGCAACATTCTAATGCACACTTGTTCTGGGTGTGGAAGGTTGTACTGCATATCCCATAAGCCTCTGAAAACCAGAACATTTAGGTTGTACAGTGATGCCGCTGAAAATGGGGACAAGGGCTTGCAGAGGTCGCAGCCCTTGTCGAACATAAATGTTCTCCCCTAGTGTCAAGCGCTAGTGTTTAATGGTAACATTTACATTTAGCAGGGTCCATTTATGAAGATTTAAGTTATTTATAAATTATGTGTCTGTATTGGCTGACCTGGAACCAAGATTTTTCTTGAGTATGGAGAAATTACAAAATAGAACAATTCTAAGAAGATTATTTTTATTGGCAAAAACTAACAAAAATGTAATATCCTCAAAAGAGCAGATGGCTGACATCCTTCAGTTTATATCATAACCCATTACATTATGCATGATTACAAGGTTAGGCAGCCATTTACATGCCATCTTTAGTCATTAAACAAAACCATCAGAAGCAGAGGCAAATTGAGGGTTTGGTAAAGATGAAGGTAACATTTTAGCAACCACTTTACTTCGAATCCTCCATCCTGAATAAGTCAGTTGGTTGCATAGTCCACTTGGCATTTGAAGGCAATATTTTACATATAAAACAGGTAACAGAACCAGCACAAATTTAACAAAGATACAAAATGAAGAACATCTCTTGCAGCAGCATTTAATCCTTAATCCCTCCTTAAAATTGTTATAAAAAAAATAAAATCAAGACAAATCACTAAAAACACATCATTTAGATCTATGACAGTCGATTCTCTGAATTTGTTACACTGTCACGTAAGGAAGGATATTACAGGCAGCTACAAGCACAGAGAAATGGCACGTTGGGTTCTCGTAGTTCAGATCTTTCGACTTTGAGGAGTTAGGCTCGTTCCGTCCAGCATATTCTGATTGAGGACCTTTGACATGATCTTCAGGACATAAAATAAAGGAATAGCTATGTGTGCAGCGGCGTAAAATCCTAATTAAATTTTTATTAAAAAGTAAATTTGTTTCTCTAAAAACAAAAAGAAAAAAAAGTGTCTTTTTGCAAGTGTACAGTCAGCCAACACTAGGAAGGCAGTGGTTTAGTTTTTGGGAACTCCAGCAACAATGTCAGCCTCAATGCCACAGTGGTTCTCTCCACGCAAAATCTTGAAGTAGCCTACAAGTAAGAAAGATACATTTAGGAGTCAGGCAGGGACACTGAATGATTTTGCACAGAATTGAAATATATATACACAAGTGAGATGCCCTGATGGGCAGGTTCATAACATGAAATTGAAGTACTGCAATGCTACCATAACCGGTTTTATATTTATCAGCAAGATAAAAATCTGACACCAGCTGTGTCGTTACTTTAAAAACACTGTCCCTCATTTTAGAAATCTAGAATTATGAAAAAAATTGTCGAGTAAAAATTTAATTAAAATTTACACAAAGAAAAAGGTAGATTATATTGTCTCAGGTGAAGCTTCTGCTTCCAACCGAATATACTATCAGCTGATGGAACCTTCCATTATTTTACATGATTTCCAATTGATGCCCATGACATCCTAAAATGTAATTTTTTAATTTTTGTCACTTTTCAAGCCCTCCTGGTCTGTCCAAGGAATACTCCAGTCAGTGCTGGAACAGTGTGCAGTCACAGCTTTCCTATAGTACAGCTCATTGAGAAGCGAGGAAGCCAGGAACGCAGTAACCGTCCACCTGTCACTTCCGTTAGCTTTGTGGAGATCATAAAAGAGGAAAAATAAAATAAACCTCTTTGCTTCTGACAGGGGGGTGCTTCTACTCCTAGTTCTAAACATGCCATTTTATATTGAAAGTAGATCTCTTGTAAACCTATCAAACAAGATTAAATGACAGATACCAAACAAGGCACTTCAGCAAGTAGAAGTGCTTCGTTTTGGAGTGGTCCTTTAAAGTGCAAACGTGGGATCTTCTTTAGGCTTCTGTTTTGTATTCTGGCAGAAATGTGAGTGTATGACTGACAGGTCTCCAGACAGATTGAGAGAAGGCAGCACTGAGGAGGGATAGCATGAGGTCAATATCTCAATAACTACACTGCCGCCCCCAATCCCAATATGTGGGGAGGGGGACGATAAATTAGATTTTTTACTTACCTGAACCGGTCCCTCACTGTCATCTTCTGGCACTTCAGCTGCCAGGAGCAGACACCACTGCTGTACTTACACATGCAGCAGTCAATTTGGGATTGACACAATGTCAGTAGCTCTGCCCAGTGTCAAACGTAGTCAAAATACAGAGACAAAGTAGTCCCTACTTTGGCTCAGTATATCTGATCAGAAATGGACAGTCAGTGAATTCTAACAGTTAGTATTTCATAAAGATTCGATCTTTATAAAATAATCCTAGTTCAGCTTTGATTCCCACACACAATGTCAGGATTAAGTGGTTTAAGGATGTTCTGGAAACCTTAGTTTGGTTGTTTTTTTACAAGAGTTTGTGCAGAGTATTGCATAATTTCAAACTAACACCTTCAATAAATGACACTAGAATGTTCACAATGGATTTACCCAGCCCAGTGTTAGAATGGTTTGATTTCCTCGAGTTCTGAAAAGTGTATGCTACAACAGCTCACTGGAGAATCCAGTTTGTGCCATTGAGCTAAGAGAAGGCTGTGCTCTGTGACTGACAGCGGCAGCTTAATGCTCAGTCAATGAGTGCAGTCCTGTACTGAACCAGCTTAGCTCACTGAAGACATTTGGCAATAGAGCTCCCTTCCCAGTTAGACTTTAACCCAGTCTCCATTCCTTCAAAACAATTATTGAAGACTCACTTCAGCAGGAAAGCATATCAATTAAACTGTTAACAGCTTTTCATCCCTGCACCCCGACTACTCTGCAACTGTCAAAAATAACAGACCAATCCCTCAGTGAGTACTGTTCTAGCAACCTACTTTTCTACCCTACCCTTATCTTGTGTCACTATACTGCACTCCCTCTAGCATGTAAGCTCTAGCAGGGCCCTCAATCCCTCTGTTCCTGTGTATCCAACTAGTCTGATTACAATTATGAGTTAGTCCACCCATTGTACAGCACTATGGAACATCCTGCTGGCATAATATATTTATAAGTATTAAAAGCTGGATGCAACAAGGGCACCCAGTTAGCCTAGGAAGTGGTCAAACAATTCCAAGATGGTTTGAGAAATTACTATGGGAAGGCAACCAGGGCAATTCTGGAACCAGAACCACTGCTGAGTTGTACTGGCTACAGCACTTTGAGTGCTCACTTAAACATTTAGAGGCATTCACATAGAAGAGTCAAGTAATGGAATAAAAACCAACTTGGTGTCACAGGTCCCAAATTAAGAGCTACAGTTTCGAGAAATCAAGAAAAATCCAACATAAACCGGTTAAATCAAAACAGAATTTAGTTTAGTGAATAACTCATGAATTTAGTTGGAGGAAATGTTAGATATCCAGTTATCAGTACTCTTGCTTTCTTGTACCCCTAACAAAAGGCAACATCTCAAGGTGTAATGAATTACCAGTAACATTACCAAAGGAAGTTCCATAGACTCGAGTTGAGAAGTTACGTACCATTATCACCCCAGTCTGAGTTCCATGAGTTTGCACACAGCCAGTATGGGGTACCATTCTCTACACCCCAGCCCAGCATCTTAATAGCATGGCCTCCAAGTACTTGTCCTTCCACATGGCGGTAGACCCCTACAAGCATAGAGATTAAATTATAAAATGTGCGAGAAGTAAACATTTCCAACAGACAAGGCTAATTTCAGTGCCAATACACCAATATCACCAGGTCATTCTATAGAATCTAAAACAAGTGTTTGTATAGCAAACTGCATCTAATGCAGTAAGCTGGAAGCCATTTTTTTTGGGGGGTATGGGAGCCACTTCAGACAGAAATAACAGTCCAACTCACCTGACTTGTAATTTGGGAAATCTGAATAAACCACAAAGTCTGCCTCCACCGGTCCGTTCTTGTAGATTTCTGCCATGATTTCTTGCTGATCTTTTGGGACATGGTAGGAGCTTCCACCTACAGAACATAGTTGAGGATTAGTTACATTGTTCACTTGTGACCAACAGTGTAAAGCAAAAACTTTGAGTGAATAGATGCAATGTGAAAGGTTTAATCAAAAAGAGTATTGAACTATTATTCAACCATACACAATGCCTTGAAACAGGCAGGCAAACTACAGCTTCCACCATGCAGTGTTCTATCAAAGGATCAAGTTTCAGCTCAAGAAAAGCAAGCCATGTAACCAGAGATCTGCCATGCCATTCATCCATTAAAGGGTTACTCCAACCACCATGACCACTTCAGTGAATTTGTGGTTATGGTGGTAGTAGTCTATTTGAAGCTCTGCACATAGTTCGCTTTTCTATTGCAGAGCAAGGGGAAACATGGGTATCCCCTCCCTCCATGTTGTGAGCCCTCCGTTTAAAGTTTTATTCCCCCACTCCCCAGCTCAGATTGTGTACATGCACATGGAGCCATTATAAGCCTGTGATTGAACACTATGCATTTTAAGGTCAGGACAAGAGCTTCACATGGCAATGGATTACAGGCAAGCCCAAAACAAAAGTCTTCAAGTTTTACTAGAAAGCACAAGGGGGCTAGTTAGAGGTGCCCGTTAGAGTTTTTCAAATAAAAATAAAAAAAAGTCATATTAACCTTTAAATAGAAAGAAATTAAGTGAATTTGACAGATTTAGACATTAGTAGTTGGCAAGAGCTTGGCAGGGTTTACAAGAGGTACAAAGCCCCCAGTCAAGAAAAAAAACTCACCAAAGTGTTTATCGGTTGAGTAGGCAGGAGTGTAGCCAGATTCACATTCTTTCACACACTTTGGAGTTTCACCCTCCTCCCCTTTGCAAGCCGGACGGGAGCCATTGACATGATGCTCACAGGGTGGGATTGAGTATGGCCTGCAACCTGTAAAAATAAAGTTTTAGATTGAGAATAGACCTACTTCACCCGGCACGCTCTATACAGCAAGGATTTCTACCATCAAGTCTTTCATATTTGGTTTATGCAGAGTCTACAATAAAATTGTAAGAAATTAGACTTTTTTTCATACATTTATTCATGGCACATCCATGTGCTCCCAACACCATCCCATAATTCCCTAGGCTTGAATGCCAAGACATTATGAAACAGAACAGACTAGGTAACATCACCCACATCAGCCGCCATGTCAAAGAGGTAAAAACTAGTATATTTGGAGCAGTTCATCTGAACCAAACTCTTAAATCCATCCGGAATTAACATGTGGAGCCTTATTTGTTAAATTAAACTCCACAGGAAAATTCTGGACAGACCAAGTCATTCAGGTTTGGATTAAAAATGAATTTGGTTTTTATGAACCACTCCAAATGAAGTTATCCTAGTATAAAGAAAATACAGTTTTCATTACTTGATCACACTTTATGGCACATATTTATACACAACATTGAGAGCAAAAAAAGTAATACTAGGGGCCGCATCATATTAAGCAAATCTATAGATAAGGGCAGTAAAAGGTGGCTTCTGCATGTTTGACTTACCCACATGCGAGTCATACAATCCTCCAGAGACCAGGCCTTTCTCAACCCAGTAATCCCAGGCTGATCCAGGGTATCCTCCATTACAGCTAAATAGAAAAGCAAAATTAAAAACAAATCAGATTTATACCAAAGGTTACAAAAAAACAGATCAAAATGTAAAGTTCTCCACCAACTGGCTACAAAAGAAAAAACATACCAATATGAATAAAAAAAGCCTACAACTGACCAATAACTTTGCACAGGTTTATAAGCAAGGAAAAATAAGTGTTTTGTGGTTATTAGTCATTGCCAGAGGACTGATGAACTCATGACAAGTAACAAGTACTTCTAGGGCCTAAATATTATTGCGGTGTTAACCTTTCAAGAAGTCATGATTTCCTAGCTTCAGGCAAGACAAGTTTTACAAAACCCAAAAAGTAGAAACTACTCAAAAAAAAAAAAATAAGAACCATAGTGACATGTAGATTTTTTTACATTTATGACACTTTACATAGCATGTAAGCTCACAAATACAAAAGCCACTTACCCCATTCCACACTCTGAACCACAACAAGAAAGCAGGTCTTCAGCAGAAACCTCCACGTTTACTTTTCCATTAGAGTGGACACAAGTACGATCAGAAATTGCCTCCACTGCACCGAACGCCTAGATATTCACAAAACAGAGTTAGGCAAAGTCCCAATAGTCCGATGCTGTGGATTTACATATATTTACTGCTGCAGTTAAACCATCTACACACCCAGCATGATCCACAGGAACCTTGGTCCCGAATTTCCCTGATAGTTGGACAGTTTGGCCAAGCTTCCCGAGAGTCAAAGTTTTCAGGCAGGTCCATTTGTCCAGCAAATGAATACCTAAAAATAAATACAAATTATCAGGAATGACAACTTCAAACAAAACCAAAAAAAGTCAAGGTTCCTGAAATCTCTTTAAGTGTTTGGTAATTAAGAGGCACCAATATTTTCTACAGACATAAATGAAGGGTAAACAAAGCAGACAACAGAAGCAAGTGTAAAGAATCCAGAATGGAATATAGAATGTCAAATCTGAATACAACAAGACATTGTTTACAAGGGCAAGGATGTGTTAACGGTTCTGCATGATGGTGTGATTGTTAAGACATTATTAGGAGACTGGACAGAATTAGGCTGGTGTTGGGAAAAGCTACATTTTGGGAGGAGAAATCCAGCAGTGACAAGTTTGTATGGTTTTTAATCTGGTTTATTTTATTTAATACAGGAAGTTAGTCATGTTTTTTTGTGCACACCTTTTCGGTTTGTATAATAGTGATTAACCTGGACAAAGTGAAGTTGCTAAAACAGGTGACATTAAACACAGACATCCCACCACCAAAATCAAGGTCAGTTTTTGAGATGGTGTGCTGTATATTAGACCCTAAAAGGAAAATGTGGATAGAGCATCAGTTCAAGAAAAACGTAGCATCTACAGCCAACACAGTAATGAAATGTCTTATCTCCATAGAAGTCACTGTTCAAGCCATTTGTAGGGAAAAATGTATAAAGGGCATTTCAAGAGGACCGACCATAAATTTAAACAATGTGGAAATCCGAATAAACAAGTTTGAAGAGTGTTAATGTAAAATGGAGAGTCACTGATTTATACTCCAAAAGAATTTACCTGGTTGGTGGTTTAGGTCCTCCTAATATGGTTCCACAAAGTCTCTTAACATGGTCCAGGTCTGATGTTCTGAAGTTATGTCCAGCCTGTGGGAGAAGGCATATCATGAGCACACACTAGCAGACTACTCTACAATTCTTGTACCAAGTCAAACAGTTAGAGAAATTTAATTGAAGTAGGTCTACCCAATACCTGTATGGTGTGCCTACGTTCTCCTGTATCAAGGCATGACTGAGCTTTCTGGACACTTCTAATACAAGTCAAGCACACAGTGCACTCAGGAGAGGTTTAATAGCTACTTAGATGTACGGAATGCAACTACCGAGAGAGCCCCACTTTACTAAACAAATTTCATCATTCTAGGAAGGCATGCTACAGGGACAAGAGTGGTGTCTACACCAGAGAGCAAGCACTCTTTACCATTGTATAGAACTGAGTTTTCATTTTTCACGGGTAAAAGCATTTATCATTTAATTCTGCGTCAGTCTGACAAATGCAGCTTTCTCAGATTAGAGCGATAAGGAATATTTACATCTTAGCTAGTCAGAATGATGCATAAAATAAACAAAACAGGGGTATTAACTCAAGTAACTTTCAGGAAATGAAAGGGAATTTAAAAGGTTCACATTATAGGCTAAAATTGTGAAATTCTTAGATGGTCTGTTATCAGTCTTGCTCTTATGGCGTAATGTTGATGCACGCTTTAGTGAATAACTTTATTTTGTGACCTAACTAAGGAAAGGGTTATGTCACATCACAAATCACATTTAGCCAAGTGAGAAAGTTGACGGGAGTGGTTTTGAGTGTGGCTTAGAGATGTAGCTTTTTAATTTAATTTATTTTTACAAATTAGAGAAGTCCTAAGAGCATATGAAATGTCATGTCAACAAAAGAACATTTCAGGTTTACCCTGGTCAATTTTGACCAAATTTTGCAAGCAGCATCTAGACAACACATGCGCAATTCTGGTCAAGCTCTTTCCTATAGGAGAGGGCAAAGCCACAAACCAGCACTGCCAATACCTATACATAGTTTGGCTTACTAAACATGGAACCGGACTACAGGTTAACCGATTGCTTGAAGACCATGAACAAGTTACTATACCATGGCTGCTAACACAAGTATGTTTCTACACAAAGATGATTAAATACAAACCGAATAGAAGTTAATTTAAGGAAACTACACAATAGCATTTTGTGACTCCAAACAACTGATTACCAGCGTGATCTGACCAGAACTTTTTTTTGTCTTCACACTTCCTGGTCTCATGAACAGTCTTTCACGTCCATATTTCGAGGCAAGATCTCACATGCTGATTTACTCTTTGGACTGTATAAAGTTACTGTAAGCGATATTAACTTACCGTCCACGTAGTGTTTAGTTTGTTGATGTAGTTTATCATATCAGGGGATAAAGGTTCAAGGAAGGGGACATTACGACAGCTGGCGATGGTGGCCAGCATGCACAGAAGAACCACAGGCCGCCACATTGTTGTGCAAATCCCGCTAAAAATAAATAAATTCAAATTATGGTTAAATACATTTCATTTCTCAGGACAGGTTATTTACAGTGACATGACAAGTCATGTCCTCTTAAAGTGTGTATTAAACATTTACAAATCCCAATACAATTTGATCCTTGCACAGCCAAGGCATGTATTACATTGGAAGAAGACGAAGAAATATAAAAAAAAAAATCTCTTCTCTGCATGTTAATTCTATGCCGACTATCAGGTTAAAGGACTGTGCATAAACCCTTGACTTAAATAGTGCTATCCTAATTATATGTAACATCTATATTGACTTTTTAGGTTTCACATTATTCTTTTCACATCCTCAGTGCAATATCTTTGAGAGTGACCCGCTGTGAAACTAATCCCTGAAAGTGTGTACTATGCTCACAGTCACAGCGTGACCACTACCTGACTAAACAGAAACTAAAACGATTCTATAACATCTTGATACAGTAACAGCAGCGTATATTTTACCAAAAGGGTGTGGACCTGAGGTCTGGTTTGTCAGGAACCATAATTTGCATCTTAATGTAAAAGCTAGGTTGTTTTGTGACCTAGAAAGGAAATTGATTTCACCTTTGTTAGAGTGACTGCCAAAAGCTCTATCACAAATTAGGAATTTGTAAATAGTGTGAAAACTAAAGTGTTTGCCACCTCTATGAAAAAGATTTGGTCAAAATTGGAAAATGAGCACTACAAGTATTATGGAACCATTCCCACGCTGCTGTAGCCAAAACAGACCATTGTTAAGACAGACTGTCCACATTGCTGCAGAGTAAATATGATCTGCAAATGGAACCCCAATTACCCTAATGATAGGCTGAAGTAACTAAATAAAGTGGTCTTGCAATTTTAGTAACCCACTAGTAGTTTAAGGGCTTTAGTAGCACAAGGCCCAGAAAAGCAGCATGCAAGATCTCAGGATAAGATATGCCACTACCTTAAACAAAAGCTATCCCTTCAAAAACCATGTCCTTCAAAGTGAGATAAGAACCACCTCCCCCTCTTATCCAAAACCAAACAGAGCTTTTCATGAGTCATCTGCACATGTCCACACAAATCCCCTGCACCACTAGGTCTGAAAAGCTGAAAAAACAAACCTCTACCATATAAACTAACCCACTGCCTTCAACCTTTCCAGGTTGAGCACTAAGATGTAGCTCTGGAGAAAGGATGAAAAAAATAAGGGGGGGAGACTAGTGGGGGTGAGGGTCCTACTGTGCAGTGTATATATGGCACCAAACATGGGCAAATGGTCAATTACACAACACAGTGAAACACTCAGACCTAACATATCAGAATGCAATGGGTTTTTAATACCTCTTAATTACTTATATCATGGGTCCCAATGACCACCCATTCCAAGGTGGAATAATGTTTCTGGACCATTTAAAAGAGAACATTTAATATCTATAAGCACTTGGATTTACATTCCATATTATAAGTACATGCAATAGAATGTTCCAGCTCCCAGATATATGATCAACTAGGTCATAAGATCAACTATAACCCACTATATATTGATTGCACTACAAGCCTGGCATATGACCCACTCCACAGACATTACACATACAGGGGGCCTGGGTCCTCCAGGGGACCAGATCTTACTCCCCCACACAGGGAGCCTGGGTCCTCCAGGGGACCAGATCTCACACACCTACACAGGGGGCCTGGGTCCTCCAGGGGACCAGATCTCACACCCCCACACAGGGGGCCTGGGTCCTCCAGGGGACCAGATCTCACACCCCTACACAGGGGGCCTGGGTCCTCCAGGGGACCAGATCTCACACCCCTACACAGGGGGCCTGGGTCCTCCAGGGGACCAGATCTCACACCCCTACACAGGGGGCCTGGGTCCTCCAGGGGACCAGATCTCACACCCCCACACAGGGGGCCTGGGTCCTCCAGGGACCAGATCTCATTATACAGGGGGGACTCAGATCTCATTATAGGGGGGGGGAGGGAGAAAGATATCAGATCAAGCCACCACCAGCACATGCTACAGTAAACATAAGGATCACGTGATCAGACCCCATGAGGGCAGCACCAGCACCCAGAGCCGGCTTCAATGACGCACTTCCGGGAGCGCCATTGTAAACAGTGCATCACCCTGGCCACGTGATCTCGGTGCCAGGCCAGTGCTCGCCATCTTTACCCAGGGCCAAAGGTCACCCACCGCTCCCAGAAACCTGCTGCGTGCTGGGGAGGGGGGAGAAATAGCTCAGTGGGTGAGTGCAAGGAGTCAGGGAAACTGAAGACAACAAATTACAGCTGATTCAATAAATCCCAACATATTAGCACTCCAAATAACCCCTCCCCCCCATAAATAACACAGTAACTACTAAACATGCACACCCCCTCCCCAATAAAACAAATCACAGTAGTAACTGATCATGTAACCCCCCCATTAACATATGTTGACCACAACAGTAAAAACTGAGCACCCCTCCCCCCATGCAACAAAAACTGAGCACCCCTCCCTCCCCATATAACAGACACTGAACATGTAAACCCCCCCCTCCTATATATATATATAAACACAGTAACAACCAGATATATACCCCCCCGCCCCCACCACATACCAAGCAACAGCTGCTCCTCTCATGCCCATCTCCAATACCCTCACATATCCCCTGCCTCTCCAATACCTTACTCGTACACATCTCTGCCCCTTTAATACCGGGAACACTATCCTCTAACACCAAGTTTAATTAATTAGTGAGCTGGCAATAAAGGGAGTGGAATGATCACTGGAATAAAAAATGCTCAGAATTAGCAGTTCCAGGCGGCTAAAGAGTCATCTCTGGCAGATATTGGGTTAATCCCCCGCCTGGATACATGTAACCAGACATACAGAGCCAGAATAGGACGATAAGAACGTTGGTTTCCCAAAGCAGATGATACATTGTGTCTGATCAGTAACAATGTAACCATCCAATAATAGCAGTAGAATTCTCTTTACAATAACACACAGGGGTCAGAGAGCAATGTCTAGCAGTGGTCTTACCTTGGGTGGCTGCTCTTACAAAGGAAAGGAAGGGATGAACAGGAAAAACAGAGCACAGGACCTTATATAAACTGCAGCTGGATCCGCCCTGCTCACAACACCTCCTGACTCAGTCACATGACTAGCAAGCTGTACAACTGGATGGGCAACTTCTAGCCAATCTGGTTTCCATTCACATCCCTCAAAATGATGAGCTTTGCATTGCAATGCAGCTGGCTGTGCAATAGTCACAATAACACAGTTATTCATTACAAAGTGTGAATTGCAGGTAACCCAAGGTTAGTTTCACAGTTTTAGCCAAATTAAAAACATAGGTTTCTTTGGGAAATTTTATAAAATCTGCTATTTAGAGCTCAAATTTACAAAATTCACTTAGAATTCCCAATAGTTGGTACTTTGCAGAGTTATTCATAAACCCCCAAAGTTTAACAAGTTAAATCGCAATGGCAAAAATAGCCAAGAAATATGTGTGGAGATCAGATATTTTTGTCTCAGTTTTTCCTTTTGAAATTTAATCGACGAAAATTCAGAGTTTGGTGAATAACCCTGTAAACCAGCAAGACAAGGTCATGGTATGCGCAGAGTAGCACGTTTTTATTGTTTTATTTAATTTCTTTAGGCTGCCCTATAGTATGTACGACTATAAACTCATGATCATTCAGTACATTTTGTTATCAGACATGAATCTTTTTTTCAACCAGTTGTTGATTTGGCCACATATTGTACAACACTGAGAGATATACTGCTGCCTGATAAAAATTAATAATATAAAGTCAGAAATACTCAAGATGTGAAACGAGCTTCTGTTATTATTTTAAGTCTAACCTATCAGGGCAGGTTCCTTTTATTTATTTATTTTAATTCTTTATTTAGAAGAGACCTGATACAATGACCATTTTTTCGTGGTCAGTTAAAGGACCACTATAGTCACCCAGACAACTTCAGGGAACAATGAAGTGGTCTGGGTGCCAGGTCCCCCAGATTTTAACCCTTCGTATGTAAACATAGCAGTTTCACAGAAACTGCTATGTTTACATTGCAGGGTTAATTCAGCCTCTTCTCCCTAACAGGCACTTCTGCGACGCTGAATGCAAAAATCGCATTCAGTGTGCAGAACGTCCATAGGAAAGCATTGAGAAATGCTTTCCTATGGGCGTTTTTAATGCATGTGCGGCTCTGTCCGCGCATGCGCATTCCTCTCCACTCGGGAGTTGACGTCGAAGGGGGAGGAGAGGTTACCATAGCCGCTGATTTCATAAAGTGTGCAGGTAAGTAGCTGGGAGCAGTTTCAAACTCTTCAGCACTATTGTGGAGGGGCCCTGGAAGGGGGGGGACCTGAGGGTTATATAGTGTCAGGAAAACAAGTTTGTTTTCCTAACACTATAGTGATCCTTTAACTCAACCATTAAAAAAGTTCCTCTCAGTTTTCATTATGACGCCATGCTTAGGGTGAACCTCAACATTCAGCCATCTAGGTGCAAAAAGTCTCCCAGCTGCAAAGGTTAATCATATGAAATAGTTTTTGAGCACGTCTTGAGAGACCATCAATAGGGAAAAAAGTAGAAATGACCAAAGATTAAAATCAAAAGGTCTCTAGAAATACTTTTAATACTAGACATCTGATTTCCCTCCAGACCCCATGAATCTTTGGACAGTCCCACCACATATCGAGGTACGTGCTTTTATGACCACACAGGCCATCACTTTAGCTTTTAAACTCTTCTTAAATGAATAACATACTGATTATGTATTGGTACTAAGGAACTTTTAGCTCTGTCTCACATTTTTGTCAAATGGTTTTAAACAGTTTTTTTAAAAAGTACCGTACTGTACGGCGTACATTTAATCTTGTAATTTGTTTCCTGACTCTGTTTGAATTCAGTTCTCAAAGTATTTCTTTTCTCTAGCTATTTACATTTTTTATAATTCCATCAGATGCTGCTAAAAGTAATCCGTTATCATATAACAAGCACTACAAACAAATCACAAGCATTTCAAAATGGGAAAAACAGAGATTTATTTTAAATGAATTAGCATGTACTTCTGACACTATAGTTGTGAAAGTAATGTTTAGGTTCCCTGCCCCCCTGTCAGAGGCATGAAAGGTGAGTTTGCTCACCTTATTTCCAGCACCACGTCAATCTGGTCGTGGCTGGCCCCGCTCCACCTCCACGGCCGAGATCATCAAATTTCATGATCGCAGCTTATCCAATCCAAACCATTGGGAGGCTATTGCGCATGCGTGGCAAGAAAGCTGCGCCAATCAGCATCTCCTCATAGAGATGTATTCAATCAATACAGCTCTATGTGGAAAGTTTAGCGCCTCCATGCAGTGTGTGGAGACGCTCAGAGTCAGTGCTGCACATAGTGCAACACTGACCCAGGAAGCACCTCTAGTGGCCATCTGAGTGACTCCCACTAGAGGTGTTACTAGGCAGTAATGTAAACACTGCCTTTTCTCAGATTACTGGTAAATTAACCCTTCATTTACAGGAATGGAAAAAAGGGGCCCTGGAGACCCCCAAACACTCCAGTGTTATAAATGAATGCATTAACTAAAGTGTGACTCATCATGAATTCAAAGTCAATTTCAAACCTAGGCAACAGACAAACTGGAAGAATTCGCCAAGTCAGCTATCACTAAAAATAACACGAGGCTACACTTAAACTGAAATAACTGATATGGAATCAAATGATTTGTGGTTTCATTCCTGTTTATCTAACATATTACTTAAAGTTTTAGATATAGAATTTGCCTGTTTGTATTATGTGATCAGAGATTATCTTTAAAGGACAGGATAAACATATTACATTGGTCCCATTGTGTGGCAACCACAAGTTAAAGCATATTTATAAAAAGCAGAAATGTAGATATACTATGTCTATCACTTTCAGGGTCTTATGAAAAGACTCAAAAGCATGTTTTAAGTCAGACAGAGTTCAAAGTAAATTTTAAATGTAAGGCTAGAGTAGCTGTATGGAAAGGTTACGTAGACATTTTTTCCCCCAGTTTGAGTATTTTTACTTCAAATCCACTTTGAATTTACCGTGAATTTAGTGAATAACCCTGTGAGTCATTGAAGAAGACTCCACCGGTAAATCCGAGATGGATCAATTAGTTTGAGTGTGGATTAAAAGGATATGATTCAAACTAACCGAACTAACACAGATTTACGTGCAAGCCTAATATATATTACTTTCATAAAATTGCAGCACTTCAGACAACGTCTTTCTACCTGATGACTAGATGCAAACTTTATTAATGCGGTTTGACTACCGTGTGAGGACTTCATTCAGGGCTCCCCTGGCACCTTAATGACTACAGCGAGCTGAAGTGGTTATGGTGCCTGGAGTGTTCCTTTAATGATCATTGTGATATCTAATATCATTGTTAAAAAAAAAAAACACGTGAATTTTACTGCAAGGTTTTTAAACAGCTAGAACGGAACTCCTGCGAGTCACAGAGCTAGCGTGCATATATTAAACGTCACGGTGGTAAAAATGGAGAGACGTAGTTAGCCTCCTTATTAACCTTATCAGCAGTTTGGTTATAAATAGTCATTACAATTATGCAAAATTGAGTCACTTCCCTTTTTTTAAGCAGTTTTGTATAGGAAAGCAATATAGCACACAGCGAACCACAAACACATTTAAAGATAAAGCATAATTGCCATAATGAGAGAATGGCTTTAATGTACTTATTATAAACCAAGGAGGCTTCTTTTTAATCACATAGTGCATAAGATACTTATCAGAGATACGAGATACTTGAAATGAAAAATTAAACAAACAAAAAAACTAAATGAATTAATTGTCCCTTTATGAAATAGCTCTGCTCTGCTAACACTGTTTGACTTATACTGTTATTAAATACCTGTTTAGAATCTTCTCGCTCTTTCGTAATAGATATCCCCCTGCCCATCATGAGTGCACAGCGCTAGTGGATCTAATATAACGAAATGAGACACTGCGTTGGAGATTTCACAGCCATATCAGTATAGTGGAGGAATGGTCTATACACAGAGGGCCACACTCAGCCCACTATCTATAATTACTGGGTGCCATTCATTAGGGGTTATAGGATGGGGTTCAGTTGTGAGGGTTGGCTTGTAGTGAAGTCACCCACTGACTATTTGATGTAGAGCAGTAAATTGAACATTGAACACTATGTAGTCAAAATGTACCAAATAAGCAGTAAAGGGAATGCATGCAAAGCAGTTGCACGTGAACTTGCATTTTGTTGCTATTTATGAAGTGCTTCACATTAAATAGAGAATGTAAATATATATATATAAGTTCCAGGAGTTCCTTGCACACTAGCCAAATGGTTCAAAGTGCCGGGTGCCAAAAGCCAGGGCCAGTAGAAATAGTAAAGCAATGGATAGGCTTGCAGGCACGGTCTTTTGTAGTTAGATCTTTTCATCCTGAAGAAAGTCCCAAACGAGGACTGGAATGTCGATGATGCTTTTAATGGATCTTCAAAAAAACTTTACCTTCTTAACTACAATAGATCGTGAGTGCAAGCCTCTCCATTGCTTTACGATATATACCTGTCATGGTTGATTATGTATTTCTTACCTGTTCTATGTCAACTTTTGTATATATTGTGTATTATTATTGTTTTTTTATTTTATTGTAGCCTATTGTATCAATGCAATGTTTTGTGGACTCAGGACGTACTTGAAAATGAGAGAAATCTCAATGTATCCTTCCTGGTAAAATATTTTATAAATAAATAAGATATATAGTGATGTCGCGAACTTTTCGCTGCGGACTCCAGTCAGCAGACACATCCCGGCCAATCTGCAGCAGACCCTCCCTCCCAGACCCTCCCACCTCCTGGACAGCATCCATTTTGAAGCTGCCTTCAAACTAGTTATAGTTTCCCAAATGAAACATAAATTTAGCAAAATACCCCTCCCTCTCCCCCTGCAATTATTGCTATTGTAATGTGCTATTGTAATGTGTGATTGTAATATAGAGTGTGATTGTAATATTACATTGTGTTAATATGCTCTCCAAGAAACACCTGAATAATAGAAATATCTCAATGTATTTTTGCTGGTAACATAATTTCCAAATAATTTGTTTACTCATCACTGGTACATTCCTTGAGTGCTGACATAGAGTCATGGTGTGCCTGTTAA